GCTGCTGGGACCACAGCCCCGGAGCCCCGCAACTCAGCTCGGGCTAGGCGCCACAGCGAAGCCCGGTGCGCGCACGAAGGGGCGGGGGCCGCGTACCAGGCTGTCCCTTCAGGCGCTCCGTACTCGTCCGAACCCGCGTGCAACCGCAGAAACCACTACACACTACTCAGCACGCTACTTCCTTCCGGGCCCGTCGCTCCGATGACGCCATCAGTTCACGCGAGAAGGCCACACCCCCTCACCTTGGTCTCCGCATCAGCTCCGCCCCTCGCACTCCGAGTAGACAGTGTCCGCCGACGGCCGCGAGAGGGCGCACGCGACTGGATCCGCTCAGCCTTTCTGGTCCCGGACGCGGACCGGGCTGGGTAGCAGTAGTGGGCAGGCCGCTTGGCCGCGGGTGTCACTCTCCGAGGTTTTCATTTCGGAGATTGCTCGGGCTTTCCCCTCCATATTAGGCCAACCCTGGCCTTTTCTTCTCCCACAGGAGGTGTGAGCGCGTGGCAGGTTCGTATTTGAGTGGTGCAGAGTAGCACGTGACGCTGCTAGCCTACAGCCCTGACTTTGAGTCGCCCGTTGTGTTTCTCTGGGAGCTTTGGCCCGTGAGGCCGCCACCGCATCATAAAGCAGTTAAGAAGGAATATGATCCGCATTTAAGAACTAAGAACGGAATCTGAGAAGCGCGTTGAGGTGCAAGGCAAGGCCCTGTCGTGCTTCCTTGGCCTGCACCCTCTGCAGCCGTCGGACGGGTCTGCCCTTCAGCGCAGTGCTGGGGGACACAGGCCGCATGCACCGTGCGCCCTGGAGGCCAAGGCCCCACTAGTGAGGCCTTTCGGGCTGGTGTAGCACGTGCCGGGTCCCCCGGTCCAACCCCCAGCCCTGCAAAAGTAAAACAACTGCATACGCTTTCAGGAAGTGAAGGGGCAGGGGATTTAGCTCAGTGGCACCTGCCTGCCTCGCATTTGCAAGGTCCTGAGTCTGATCCTCCTGTACCGCCCTCCCCCCAAAAGGGAAGGTGGTAGGGTTAGGTGAGTTTAGGACTCAGGAAGGGAGGTCTAACTCTCCTGGGCATGGCTGCTCAGGATTGATCGGCCCATTCCCTCTTGTTGGTTTGCTGTGGGTGGGTTTATGTCTGATGTTCCAGCATTGTTCTGTTAAATCAGTAAGTGGTCTGTGGGTGCCCACTGCCATACCTGAAGGCCTCTCCTCTCCCCTCGCTGTGCCCAGTGTACACATAGACCCAAGGGGCTGCCACTTGATTGAGGGACCCTATCAGGACCTGAGAGCCTTCTGACCTCAGCTTCTGGGGGTGCTTGATAAATATTATTTAATAGTTAAGCAATGAACAAGAAAAAAAGAAAGTGTTCAGATTACGTGTGATTGAAAAATTCCCTCTCAGTAATCTCAACATTCTGGGAGGCTGAGGCAGAAGGGTCGCTGTGAGTTCGAGGCCAGCCTGGGCTACATAGTGAGTTCAAGGTAAGCCTGAACTACAGGGTGAGACTCTGTCTCAAAAAAAAAAAAAGGCATAAAGACACAAATTCCAGCTTGGCCTGGGCAAGTTAGTAATTTGGTGAGACTCTGTCATGAAATAAAACCTAGAAAAGGCTGGGGGTGTAGCTCAGTATGAAAGCACTGGGTTCAATCCCCAATACAGAAAAAAAACCCCATGTTTTTTTTAATGTTAAACTTTGGAATGAATGGCACAAGCAGCACGTGGCAGGCTCTCAGGAGCCTTTTACCAGCTGGAGGTATTTAGTTATGGCCCTGCCTAGGGGCGAGAGGTAGATTCGGTAGACGATAATCTAGCAGTTCTGGAAACCCTTCCTTAAGCGACCTGTGATATTTATGACTCAGTATCCAAAGTTGCCAAGCAGATAATTCTTGTGATGATTCTTTTAACAAAAGTATTTATGAATCCATGTTTCAGAAACTTGCAGTATGGGCTAGCAGTGAAGCTCAGACAGATCCTAGTCAGATTGCCTGGGTTTTAGTCACAGCCACTGCTTTTCATGAGCTGTGTCATGTCGTAGGTTAAGATCATTTACCCTTTATCTGTAAAATGGGGTTATAATAGTATGAACCTTACCGAACTACTGTGGGGGTTAAGTAACAGAGAAAAGTACACACAATGTTTGACTTTTTTTTTTTTTTTTTTTTTGACAGGGTCTCACTGTGTAACCCAGGCTGGACTCAAAATCATGATCCTCGTGCCTCAGCCTCCCAAGTATTGGAATTACTGGCATGAGCCACTGTGCCCAACTGTGGGGTATGTTTGACACATGTTCAGTGTTTAGCAAGTGTTGCTTTTTAAGTAGAAAATTCCTTTAATGTGTCCTTGCATCTCTGTGGGTTCAGATTATTAACATGATGGGGGACGAGGAATGATAAGCTTCAAGTTGTGTGGTACTGAGCAATAATCTAATTAAATCTTAGCAGCAGAAGAAATAAGGGACCCAGAAATTATAGGTCAGTAGATCTTTACAGATTCCATTAAGTGTTACTGAGTGCTTTCTGTGCTAGGGCCTGACACCTCGCACTTTCTCATCTGATGTAATCTTCAGGCGGGACGTTTGAGTTCGACTCCATTTTAGAGGGGAAAGTCGAAGCTCAGGAAGTTACAAGATTGCCCGAGGTCGCAAAGGTAGTGAGTCACAAAAGCAGAATCCCAAATTCGATTTTTTTAATAGCAAAACATTTATTGGTTCATTTTAGACACACATAACGATAGCACTCATCATAGGGAATTTGCATCTAGTCTGTTTCTGTTTTATGATAAAATGAATTTGAAAATGATGCAGTTTAACCCTCCACACACACACACACACACACACACACACACACACACAGGCACATGCACGAAATTTACTTGTAGGCTTTCAGGAATATATATTGGTGATCAGAATTTGTAAGACTTCAGATTGGAAGCTTAGCAGTGGGAGATCCCAGTGGCGGGTTAGTCCGCCCTGCATCACTGTAATGAAATACCCGAGGTTATGACTTAGAGGAGGAAAGGTTGATTTTGCCTCACAGTTTCAGAGGTTCAGTTCATGGAAACTTGGTCCAGTGGTCTTGGGCCTGTGGCAGCACAGTTGATCAGGGAGGGAGAGTGTAGTGTGGGAAACCTGCTGGCTTCACAGTGGCCAGCCCAGGAGGCTCCAGATGACCTAACTTCTTGCTGCAGACCCTGCCCCTTAACGGCACCTCCACTTCCCAATAGCACCATGAGCTGGAGACCAAACCCTCAATGGGTGGGCCTCTGGGTGACCTTCAGGCCCCAAAGTTTAATACAAAGGATAAAAAATATTCTCACCAGAAATTCACCTCCCCATAGCTCTGGATTGCTGTTTGTTTTGTCATCCTGTCAACCTAATTACTAGTGAGAGTTCTACTCCCAAGAGAGAAGAAACCCCTTCTTTCACAATTGGAACCCTTAGGTTAACTGTAAAGGAACAAGGCAACTTTTGGAAATTTTGGCTTTGGTTCTTTTATTTTATTTTATTTATTTTTTTGTACCAGGGATCGAACTTGGGTCCCTGTGCTTGCAAGGCAGGTGGTGGAACCACTGAGCTAAATCCCCAGCCCTGGCTTTGGTTCTTTTACATCACAAGAGTAGAAGTTGCTGAAATTTTTTTATTTAGATTTTTCCTTTTTTTATTTTGGATTAAAAAACAGAGATTAGATATTATCCCCCTCCCCCAACACCAGGGATAGAACTCAGGACCTTGTGCTTACCAGGCAGGTGTGGTGCCAGTTAGCTACATCCTTGGCCCGATGTTATCTTCTGGGACATCTGATCCTAGAATCAAGCTGTGAATGAGTTGGGGAAAGTGTGCACTGTGTGCTTGGGCTGGCGCTGTTGCTCTGTGGCTGTACAAGGCTGGCTTCTATCCCAGCACCACAGAGCTACACCCTTAATTACTAAAAGGCTTCTTTGGAACTTTCTGTTTGTTTGTTTGTTTGTTGTTGTTTTCAGTTGGAAAACTCATGACTGGTACCTTCCAAGGAAAAAAAGGATATTTGTTGGGAAGAAATAAGAGTTTTTCAAGGTAGTAGGGTAAAGGGATGGAAGAGGCATCAAGAAAAAAAATGAGTCGGAAGTCACCTAAAGATCATTTCTTTTGTGCCATTGGGTGCCCCCTGTAGCGGGGGGAGCGGACCTCCCTCCTTTCTCTGTTGATTTGGAATTCTCGTGGATTTGAACCAAAAGTGACTTCATTGTGTGCTAAGGATTGGTTGTTAGCCAGAATGAAGAGATGGCCCTTTGATAATGGCCCAGAAGTTAGAATTGGAGGTTAACACTTGGGAGCCAACCGTCCCATAACAAGGGTTCTGCCACCCAACTATGAATTTTCTTATCTTGTCACTTCTTATGGGGTCAGTAAATTTGAGTCCCAAGAGAATGATTTTTCTTATTATCTGAGATCAATTACAGACCACCACTGGGTGTTGCCCATACATTCCAGCTGGTTTGCTCTGCAAAGAGGTTTAAATTCTTGTCTGTGTGCCATTTGGAGTGAGTGGGTGTATTGTCAATGCCCCAACTAATAACTCTCAGAAGACAAAAGAAGAACAGCAGCCATGGGCTCCCAACAAAGTACATACATAAGCCCAGTTTTGTCTGTT